AAATTACTCCCATATAAAATGCATGGGAAACTTTGAGCGCTTTGAGCGACCTCTAAATATTTTTTCATTCAAAAAAAAACAAGGGTGTATTTTTTCGATATAGAACAATCATAGGGGTTGAGAGCATTAAAATTCCGACTTTACTTTCCTTGGACTACCCTAATGCACATACATACATACATGAGTATACTTGAGTTCAGTACCTTCGATGTTATTGTTTGGAAGCGTTGATAAAACTGTTAATGGGGGGTGTTATAATAATTATACCGTTGCATTGCAAAGGTTGTAAATATCAACATACATAAATAAGCGTCAGTTATTAAGCCTCTTAAAATAGATTAGAAAGCAAATCGGAACGTGCAGATGTTTGAAAAAAAAAAAAACAAGTCGCTGACGCCTTCATCTACTTGCATATCAGCACTACAAGCCTTATTTGTCGTTAAAGGATGTGTCTCGAGAATTCGGCTACAAAAAAGAAATACAGTGCAGTTTAAAAAATAGTACATAGTATTCTTTTAGGCTATGCGCTGACATGCAATTTTTCGTTTTGCCAATTTTTTGCTGCATTTTCTCATTTTCCACGTGTATACATACAAACGTTAGCAGTTTCGACAGTCAGCAAAATGATTGCAAATGAGGGCGCCTTTATTTAGTACAATACTGGTTGGTGGGTTGAAGTGGCGAATATAGCAACTCCAATTAGCCATAATGCATACGTGCCCGTTTTAAAACCATACCTTCTGGCTCATATCTTCTGGCTAGCTTTTTATAAAAAGTTAAAAAAAAAATCTGGCTATTAAGGCACACATTTCGGTTTCTGGTTACCCGGCACCGACTTATATGAGAGCTTGAATGGCTTTACATTCACTTGGTGAAGGCAAACCGGCTGCCAGTTACCCGGAGCGTGTGAAACCGCATTTATTAGCTCATTATGAATTTTTCACTACCTAACTTCTTGATGATTTCTTAGGGATCATGGTTGAAATACATTACCGACGAATGTGGAACTAACCACAGCGAAATTCGCTGCTGCTCAAATCTTTATTTTAATAGGTTTTTTTGCGTCCTCGTATTTTGGGCAGTTCTTCACTTTTGTGAGAGCGCTTCGTTCTTACGCTCATTTGCCTGAAAAAAAAACCTACTGATTGTAGTATACAGTTTTAACCAGTCGGCTATCGCGGGCGCTAAATTCTTTTTTAACTTTGTTTGCTTAGCTGTTTGGTTCGTTTACTTTGTCATCGTTTAGATTTGTCATCGAAAATGCTCCTCTAAGAGTTAATCCCGCGATAATTTCGAATTAACGAGTTGATCCAAATCAATAGAAGCATTTTTTTTTATTAGCGAGAGACAAAAAAACGCTCAACTCGGGTAAAATTTCCTTTTACCTACTTAAGCAGCAACCGCGTTGGTAATAATAATAATAGATTGGCGCTTACACATAGGTTAGTGTTTGGCCGAGCTTCTCCTCCGATTTGTGGCGTGCGGGTCGATGTTGTCACACAAAGGGGAGGGACCCACAGTTTTACGCCGACTCCGAATGGCGATTGTATTTTTATGATAAGCTATTTTTCATGGAAGAAATATACTCGGAGGGTTGCTATTGCCTGCCGAGGGGTGATCGTCATTAGAATAAAAATTACGTTTTTTATTTTTTGATTGGGGTTGAACCGGGCTTGAACCCGTGTCTTGCGGAGCGGTAGCGCGCACTGCTACATACATCACAGCGGCCACTCATGTATATAAGGAAACAAAAATTTCCGTGCACCTTCCCATTAACAATTCACAATAGAGCAATTTTTTCACTTAAAAACACTACCTCAGGTCGCGTATTTTTCACCCGGCCGGGCTGAACTCGGATGCATAGCCGGGTTTGCGCTGTTGCTTTGTGTGTATTTCGTCGTTTACAGGTCTATTCTGCACGTTACCGAAGATTTTGTAACCGGAAAATTGTATTACCAAAAAACGTTACCAGTTCTTGTCACTGCGATTCTAGGTACGTTGGTAATGCAGTTAAAATTTTCAGCTATGAAGAATTGTGGAAATTCTGGCATTGCATATTTCACGGGGCAATACTTTGTTACCAGCTTGTGAGATCGTAACAAAATTTACCGATTACACAGAATGCGAAAAGGGTTTAAAAATTGACAATAACTTTATTTACCGGTTACAAACTTTTTATTACCAGCGCAGAATAGACCTGTTAAGCGAGTGTTCTTTTGTCGCTCGGTTGCAAAAGAATTCACCTAATGTTGCCGTTTTCTGCGTTGTTATATGATTATCCGGCAGGATGAAAAATCTAGTTTTTATCTGAAAAAAAAAAAACAAACATACGTTTACGTTACCATGTGTGATTTTACATGAATACATCGTGCGTCAAAAACCATAAAATTTTAAAACGCACAAAAAATCATATACTCACGAAACTAGGAGACCACGGTTCGGTTGCTAGCTGGCAACCCAACTGGAAAAAAAATTTGTATTACGAAAGGCAACTATCGTTAGTTGCTGTAGAGTTATCGATAATCGAAATTTGACAGTGCGACAACCAGCAAGTGGCTGTAAAAAAGCTGTGCGATTAAATGTAAATTATTAAAATAAACAGTTTTAAAGAAAATGCAGCAATAAAGCAAAGTTCATCACAATTATTTGTTTAAGAGGAAGAGAATCAGGCGACATTGAAAGGATAATTCCTATCCTCTAGAGCTGCCGCGTGCACTGTAAGCAAAAGTTAATGCTTTCAAGGCTTTTCTTTTGTTATCGTTTTGTGTTAATTTTCAAAGCATATTGAGGATTTACAAAAGGAGCTGTAGTATAATTTGTTAAGGTGTTCGTACACGATATGTATTTGCATGTGTGCATGCCACTTTTTACATATGGAAATGCCAAGTTATCGTGTAAAGGCAAATTAGATTTGTTTCTGTATAAAGCAGATGCACTTACTACATACGAAATATAAATGTTTCTATTTTCATCTGACACACGGTATTTTTAAATAGTTAAATAAAGACTGTGAATTTGACAGCATACGCAATTAGATATGTATTATATCGTTTAGGCAACTAGCAACGCAACTGAGCTTCGATTGCTATCGATAATTCTTAATTTGAAAATTAATTTACATGAATATTTTATTTGTTTATTTACTTACATGCATTTGTTTATATAGCTCCTAATAGAGTAGATTATTAATTTTTACAAGGATTGCATTAACTGGTATCTTACACCTTTTAAACACAACAGCTTTTATTTACTTACTTTAAATCATTTAAGATATTTAATACTCATAGATTTACGTATGGATGTACATACATATGTATTAACAAAAATTTAAAATCAGCTCGAGATAAATATTCTATATATATATGTATATGCACATAGTGCCGATACCCTTTGGTATTTACTTCTTATATAAAGTTCTAGAATAAGTGCAAAATTGAAATGCATATAATCCAGTAATTTAGCCTTCACTTGAAAAATATAAATGTAATTTCGCTGAAGTACCGAAAAAGTGGAACTGCAAAAGCGCTTATTTCCACGTAGAAGTCGCTGTTGACATGGTCTTAACAATCATTAATTTATCAAGTGTCCTGTCCTTTTTGACATTTGACTTAAAATGTTTATTAATCTGCTAAATTCTTCATCACACTATGCTGCAGTTGTTTGCGTATGGTTATTATCAATCTAAATACATACATATATACATTTTTATTTTGAAAGTGGCATAAGTCACTTTACACCTCTTGTACTTTAATTACCGTTACTTGTATCTGGACGCGTCGGCTATTTGTTCAACTTGATCAAACAAAGTTAAAAGGTTTTTGTCATTAATTTATGACGATAAAAAAAAATATTTAGAAATGCATTCGGTTACAAGTAACAGGTCATTTAAGCACAAGAGG